AGCCCTGGCCAGTGGGAGTGTGGCCAGGCGTGCAGAGCTGCCCCCGGGGAGTCTCCCTCCCCAGGGAATGCGCTCCCCACTGTTGTTATTATGTCTAGTGTTTGTGCCCTCCTCCCCTGGAATCCAAATACCAGCAAGCCATGAAAGGGCCAATCATATTCACCTCTTATCCCCGGGGCCTCATTCTACCCCCAGCTTACAGCAGGTGCTCACTAACTAGAAGGAAAATGGAATGGATGAATGGCCCAATACTTTAACCAACATCCGCCTTACCTGTATTTGAAAAATCACATGCAGGGGTGCCTGGATGGCTCAGTCGTCAAGTGTCTCTGCCTTCGGCTCAGGTCATGATCTCGGAGTCCTGGAATCGAGCCCCGCAACGGGCTCCCTGCTCTGCGAAGAACCTGCTTCTCCCTCTCCCACTCCCCCTGCTTGTGTTCCCTCTCGCTGTGTCTCTGTCAAATAAATAAATAAAATCTTAAAAAAAAAAAAAAAAGAAAAATCACATGCAAATTCACACAGGGCCAGTTCTTACGGACAGAAACCTTCATGAGGCCAGAACCCCTTGTATCTGTACTCTGTTCCAGCCATAATAAATTACCACAAACTTTACAACACAACACCAATTCATTCTCTGACAGTTCCGTAGGTCAGGAGTCCCAATTACAGCGTGGGTCCCTGGGCCAAAATGAAGGCGTCACCAGGGCTGTGCTCCTTTCTAAAGGCTCTGGGGATGAACCTGCTTCCAAGCTCATCCAGATTGTTGGCTGAATTCAGTTTTTTGCGGTCCAGGGCCTCAGCTGGGGGCCTCTCTCAGCTCCTGAAGGCCACCTGCATTCGGCCTGCTGCCCTCCCTCTCCCATCTTCAAACCAGCAACGGCAGGTGGAATCCTCCTCATTCTTCAAATCTCTGATTCATCCTTCAGCCATATCACTTCCGCCTTTAGCCAAAGGACGTTCTAGCCAAAGAACTTTTTTGGTTTTTTTTGTTTCTTTGTTAGAGAGAGAGAAAGCACACAGCAGGGGGAGAGGCAGAGGGAGAAGCAGGCTCACTGCTGAGCAAGGAGCCCAACTCGGGACTCGATTCCAAGACCCCGGGATCATGACCTCACACTCAGGCGTCCTGCCAAAGAATGTTTTAAGGGCTCATCTGATTAAATGCGGCCCACTCAGATAATCCAGGATAAGCTCCCTACTTTAAAGTCTATAATTACATCTGCAAAGTCCCTTTTGCCATGTAACCTCATATATTCACAGGTCCCAGGAATTGGGGTATGGACATCTTTGGGGCACCATTATTCTGCCCACCACAACTCTCCTGGGAGGAAAAAGATCCCAGAACCAGGATTTCAGGTCCAAGACTCCTTGGTCCTGTAAACTCAGGACAGGGATTGCTCACCTGTGTGAGCCTCAGGTTCTTCATCTGTGGAATAGGGACACACTAGTACTTATGTCCAAGGACCATGGTGAAGAGCAACTACATTTATTCATGCAAAAAGCCTGGCACAAAGCATGGTCACTATTGTGAGAACAAGGGCAGGGTCCACAGAGGGAGGGAGGGGGCTGGCCCCAGGGTCTGGGATCTGGTCTTCAATTTGGTAGACTGAAATTTCTGGTCACCCAGCGAGTCAAAGTATTGGAGCCGGGAGTCTCTCCTGGCCTCACCAGTTCCCAAATCCTCTGTATACCAGTCGGTGCTGGCCTCTGAGAGGTCCAACCTCCATAGGCTCCATCTCTGCCACCTCTTTCAGTGGCAACCCAGGACAAGTGTCCCTCTGAGTCATGGCCAGCCGGAGGGAAAGGCTTAGATTCACAGATGATGCTTTTTAGGGAATTACCCTCCTAAGTCTTGGGAAAGGAGAAACTCTGATGTGTGCCAAGTGTGTGCGCAGACCTTGTTACATTTTCCCTTCACAGCAGCCCAGTGAGGTAGGAATGAATGATTCCCATTTCACAGCTGAGGCTAACTGAGGCCCAAAGAGGATAAGGGAGAAGGTGCAAACAAATTAGGGACTTGCGATGTTCTGGGCACAGTGCGTGGTGCTTTATGTACATCACCTTCACAAGACTCCCCCCCTCCCAGTCCCAGTTATTTTCCTCATTCCTTGAAGAAGAAAATAGCTCAGAGAAGAGGAGAGATCTGCTCCAAGTTCAACATCTGGAAAAGGGCAAGGCCCGGAAACCCTTCCCTTTCCCACCCGACAAGGGTCCCCTCATCACCTGTTGAGTGGGTACCCGCTTCTGTTTGCTGTTATCACCAGCCCTGGTGTGACCAGCCTGCCAAGAACAGCCAAGGTGGCCAGGGGAGAGCGGTTCATAACCCCCTCCACAGCAGAAATCTTGGGTTCTGGCGCAACTCAGGCTCCACAGAAAGCTTATCATTTCCCATCACCATGGTAACACGAACATCTCTATTCCTCTAACACATGAATGGAGCTGCTCCCCACACCACCGTCTCCCAAGCCCCCTCAAAGATTATGGATTCGATTCATTATCACCAATGCCTGCACTGGTTTTGTCGTTTTCACTTAATTCCATTTGCTGTGTCACTGAGCCCTGCCCTGGATTAGAGTGGTTATTCACCAGAACATTCGGCTGCTGGTTGCCATGGACACTCACAGCCTGCTGCATCACCTGTTAATTCTCAGCACGGCTGGCTGTGAGCATGGGTACCACTGCCCTTTATCCAGGACCCAAGGGGTATCAAAACTCCCCCAGACAAGGAGGGGGCCTGATGATGTGTGAACAAGAGCAAAATCTCTAATGCCAACCGTGGAAAAATCAAAACCAGCTCGAGATGGCAATTTATCAAATCAGTCAACAAGCGCACTATTTGGTTTTCTGGCACATCTTGGGCAAGACCTTTAGTCTCTTTGCTTACAATTTTAAGATGTATTTTTATATTGGAAAGTGGTGAATGCGTCACGCGGATCCCTTTCTCCCATGGAAAACAAAAGGAGAGAGCCTCCAAGTGCAGGGAGCCCTGGGTGGGGGGTTTGCAAGAGGCAGGGGGTAAAAGCAGACCCGAGGTGGAGGGGAGCTGCAAGCAGAACCCAACCAGCACAGAGGGCACAAGGAGGCGGGGGACGCTCAGGGTTTTCCAGGCAAGGGAGGTGAAGAGGCAACCAGGCAGAGAGAGTGGGGCCATCAGCCCATGGCCCATTGCCCCCGATAACTACCTCACGTCCTGTTTGCAGAGCCGAGCAGAGGGGACAGGGGATCAATACAGCTCTCCACATCCACACACTCCCTGCTCTTCAAACACCAATGTATGACGAAACATGCTTCCTCTGAATCCAGGGTTATTCGGTGCACCCCCTTCCCCAGCCCCCCAACGGGACGTAGTCGGAGGGCACACCAGGATTCTGACCCCAAGGACTGGGTGGGGGGCACTGTTCTGATCCCGGGGAGCCTGTCTCCTGCCTGCCCTCATACCCAGCTGAAGACCTGCCCCGACCCCACACCAGCCCCTCACTGCCATGAAGGTCAACGCCCCTCCCCCCCATGTGGATGACTGACTGAATGAGTGACAGGGCAGGGCACCGGTGATGTACCTGTGCCCACCCCCTTTTGTCTCGCTGGCCACATGGGCGTTTGGGAGGGGCCTTGAGGGCTTTATAAGGCAGGGCAGGAGCACCAAGCAGTGCAGGCACTGGAAAGGCACCAGGCCGGCTACAGCACCGCCCACATCCCGGCTCTGCAGGTGAGAGCACCCAGGAGGGGAGTGGAGAGGCGGGGAAGAGGGTTGATGGGACGACTCCCTGCATCAAGGTACCAGGCTCACCCCTCGGTGTCTCCAGGGCTGCCACCCTTCTCTTAGCTCAGGGCCAGACTAGGTCTCGGCCTAGAACCCACCCTGGCATTCCCAAACCTTGAGCTGACTTGCTGCTTCACCCCCCTTACTCCATGTTCACCCCAGTCCTGCGAGGTGAGAAGGACAAAGGAAGGGTTGGAACTGGAATCCAAGGCTTCTGGATCCCATCTCGAGCTTTTTCCTAGACCAGCGCAGTCTGAAAGAACTTTCCACGATGATGGGGTCTCTATCTGCACCGTTCAATATGGTAGCCACCAGCCACGGGTGCACTGGGAAGGTGGCTAGCCTGGGGGAGGAGTTTTTAATTTTAATTAATTTAAATGTAAAGAGCCACATGAGGCCCGTAGCTACCACGGTGGACAATATGCGTGGCTCCTATGGGCCACCGTAGCTCTTTTTTTTTTTTAAAGATTTTATTTATTTATTTGACATAGAAAGACACAGCGAGAGAGGGAACACAAGCAGGGGGAGTGGGAGAGGGAGAAGCAGACTCCCTGCCAAGCAGGCAGCCCGATGCGGGACTCGATCCCGGGACTCCAGGATCATGACCTGAGCCGAAGGCAGTGCTTAACCAACTGAGCCACTCAGGCGCCCCCACCGTAGCTCTTGATCACTGATTTTTCAACCTTGTTTCTTTAGCACCAAGAACCCTTTCTCTTCCAAAGGAAATCTAAGAGAGAACCCCACTATGAAAAACAGATAAAAGTAGTATTGTACTGGGGCGCCCGGGTGGCTCAGTCGTTAAGCGTCTGCCTTCGGCTCAGGTCGTGATCCCAGGGTCCTGGGATCGAGCCCCACATCGGGCTCCCTGCTCAGCGGGAAGCCTGCTTCTCCCTCTCTCACTTCCTCTGCTTGTGTTTCCTCTCTCGCTGTGTCTCTCACTGTCAAATAAATAAATCTTTAAAAAAAAAAAGGTAGTATTTTATTAATATGAATGTGTTCCTGAAAGGTAAAGCCAATCAGAATAATGAGGCTCAAAGAACATAAGTGCTGAGAATAGAATTTTAGATTTGAATTTTAGTTTCATTTGAGTATCCAGTTCATTTCTGTATTATGGCGTCCCCAAACTCAGGTCACCCTGACACACAGGTGCAAATGGTAACAGCTTAATTTTTAACTGCTTAACTACAATCACAGGATATTCCTCAGTTAAGCAAAACTGGTGGGAGAAGCTTCCCTCCAGGGGCCGTGCAGAAACTGTGGGACCCGACCACACGGTGAATACGCTGGTGGTCTCCACAGAGGTACCGGGCCGTCTGTAACGTGCCCTTTGGTATGACTATTTAAAAGCTCACTTTAAATTACAAAGAATTAAACATCTACAGAGCAGCTCACGTAGCCTCAAATTCTGCAGAAATTTGGAAACCAGCACTCTCGGTTGTAAATTCCTCCTCCAAGAGAAGCCCCTGTTGTACCTAAGGTAGGTGAGGAGGAAAGTGGGGCAGGCCTGGGAGCCGGGGGAGTTGGCAGGAATTGGAGAAGCGAGCTGAGGAACAGTCCACAACCCCACACAGTGTTGCACCTGCCAACAGCAAGGGACCCAGAGTCCACCTGGTCCAGGCCCCCGCCTTTGGGTGTCTGGATGGCCCCATCTTTCAGCTCTGCCCCTCTTTCCTTTGCAGACAAGATGCAGCGACTGTGTGTGTACGTGCTGATCTTTGCGCTGGCTCTGGCCACCCCCTCTGAAGCTTCTTGGAGGCCCCGCTCCCAGCTGCAGGAGGCTCCCTCGGATCCAGGGGCAAATAGGGGCCTGGAGCCACGCTGGGTGGACCGGCTGGGTGCAGCCTCTCACCAGCGAAGGCAGCTAGGGCTCCAGGGTCCCCCACAGCTGGTGGCAGGTAGGAGCTATGACAGCTGTCCCTGCTTGTCTCGCCCAGCCAAGGTTGACCCTGGCCTTGGTCTCCAGCGGCTAGATGTCCTTCCCATATCCTCATGTCCTCTCCCCGCTCTGACCCTCAGACCTGTCCAAGAAGCAGGGACCGTGGGTGGAGGAAGAAGAAGCAGCTTACGGATGGATGGACTTCGGCCGCCGCAGTGCTGAGGAAGGGGACCAGCGTCCCTAGAACGGAGCTTCAGAGCCCAGCCGTCTCCCAGCCCAGCCCAGCCCCATGAAAAACCACTCAAAATAAATTAGCTTCCAATGGATCACATTGTGTCAAGTGTGGGGCAGGAGAGGGGAGTTAGTGGGGACAGGGCTGAGGCAGTGGGGAGAACTGAGCACTCTCCTGGGGGCAGGGACCATGACTCATTCTTCTGGGTGTCCCCAGAGCCTAACACTGACCCCGAATCTACTAGTGCAGGTGGCAAATGGTGGTGGGGTCACAAGCAGAGTCGGCTTTCTAAAAGATAAATCAAACGGTGCCACTCCAGGTTTTAACCCTCCAATACTTCCTGTCACACTTAGAATAAGACCTAAACTCCTTGCCAAAGCCCTAAACTAGCCCTGCTGTCCTCAGGGCAGGTGCCATGTTCCTTCCTCCTCTCTCCCTTTTCCCTTACACAAATGCACCTGCGCTTGGTCCTGCTCAGAACATTTGTCCTCGCCATTCCCTGTGCCCCGAAGGCTTTTCCCAGGCACAAACATGGCTGGCTCCCCTTTTTCTCCCTGGGGCCCTGGCTGAAATGCCTCTTCCTGAGAGACCCACCTGCTCTTCTCCTTCTGCTTCATACACAGCACCCGGTTCTCTCTAACGGCCCCAGAGTCTCTGACGTTGCTCTCTAGAGCACATTTCACACCCTGTCATTGTCTCGTTAGCTACTTTACTGTCCGCCTCCCCGGTTAGAAGGGCAACTCTGTAAGAGTGGGGACCACACGTCCCTCTTCCCTGCTGTATCCCTGGTTCCAAGAACAGGAGGTATCCAATAAAATATTCGTCAGATGGCCGGGTGAGTGGCCAGCACGGGCACTGTTGATGCTTCACCCATATTCCCTCCTAGTTCTCTGCCTGTCAGCAGCATCCTTCCACAAGCACATGCCACTGTTCCTCCGAGGGCCTTCCTAGTGCAAGACAGGCTTCAGATGCTGCAGAGTTAGCACCTCCAGAAGCAGCTATGAGTCAGTGACAGATGAGAGCGGGAGAATCAATACCCCAGCTCCCTCACCCCTCGGGCGGGGTGACTCGGACATGTATTCAGCTCTGTCTCCCAGAATTCCCCCGCAGGACTGAGCCCCACTTACCCACAGCAGGTACCTGCTCGAGGACATCCTTTGTTGACTGCCCTCCCTTCCCTTTCTCGCTTCTCAAAATCTGCCCCTGCCTCCCTTCAGGGTTTCCACACTAAAAACTAGGGTCAAGTCTTAGGATGTGCAGAAGCACTGTCCCAAACATGGGGGAAAAGGGATTATTCAACCGAAATACTGCAGGACCTGAATAAGCCGGATAACATGTCGCAGCAGGAACCGGGAGAGCACACAGGAGGGGATTTTCAAGGCTGGCAGACCAAGGAGGCGGGCTGGAGACTGGATAGGGAGAGTTTGTTGATATGGGAGAGGGAGACAGTCTCCCATTACTCAGGCTTTCAGCTCCTGGCAAGGACACACACAGCCAGTCCTAATGCCTTGCGGGGAGCGACTCCCTGAAAGTCTGTAGCAAGTGAAGTGCCCGAACTTCCCCAGCAGAGGACCGGGGAAGGAGTCAAAAGACGGGTAGGCATGTTAGAATGAGTTGTCGAGTCAGACAAGAGCATCCACCACATGATTACAGTCCCTGCAAGGGTCCAGAGAACAGCCCTTTCCCGGAGGACATAAGGAACCTGTTAGTGAGGACAAGTAAGCATTGTTGAGCTCAGCAGAGGTTGTCCTCTGTGGGCCGGGGTTGATGTAGGAGACACTCGTGTGGCCGCAGGCTACTTAAGTGTCAGTGGGGATGAGAGGATTGCAGGACAGAGGGGACCCGGCGGCAGCACTTAACCCTCGGAGGCAAGGTGGACATAATTACCAGGGGGCCTTAACCCACAGGGTTTGCAGCGGTGGCTCAGACCATGGTGCCCCTAAACTTGAGATCTGGGGCACCTGGGTGGCTCAGTCGTTAAGCGTCTGCCGTCGGCTTAGGTCATGATCCCAGGGTCCTGGGTTCGAGCCCCACATCGGGCTCCCGGCTCAGCAGGAAGCCTGCTTCTCCCTCTCCCGCTCCCCCTGCTTGTGTTCCCTCTCTCGCTGTCTCTCTGTCAAAATAAATAAATAAAATCTTTAAAAAATAAAAAATAAAAAAACCTTGTGATCTACGGGTGGCCAAGAAGGGCACTGTTTGCCTTATACAAGGAGAATGGATCAAGAGCAAATGAGCCCAAGGCTGATGTCAGCTGCCAAAATGGAAAATCATGATCCATTGCCTGGTTTACAAATCTGTATCAATTCTCAGAAGTTGCCATTTATCAGTGTAATTGTACACTGGGGAAGGAGGCACACCCAGATATTTCAAAAGCCGTCGTGTAGGGGCACCTGGGTGGCTCAATCCTAAGTGTCTGCCTTCAGCTCGGGTCATGGTCCCAGGGTCCTGGGATCGAGCCCCACATCGGGCTCCCCGCTCAGCGAGAAGCCTGCTTCTCCCTCTTCCACTCCCCCTGCTTATGTTGCCTCTCTCACTGTCTCTCTCTGTCAAATAAATTAAAAAAAAAAAAAAAGCCGTTGTGTACGGGGCCTGAGCTGCCACACCAGAGAACCCCAAATGCCATCACGCCTCCACCCACATTCAAGAGAGAGTGCATTTTGGCGCCTCGCCTGGCTGGCTCAGTCAGTACAGCATGGGACTCTTGATCTCAGGGTCGTGAGTTCAAGCCCCACATTGGGCTCCATGCTGGGCATGGAGACTACATGCATACATACATAAAGTGTAACCATTTAAAAATATCCATTCCCACATGTGCTGTCCATGGTCCACTAGAAGCATCAATAGTCTTGGGGCCCCTGGTGGCTCAGTCGGTTAAGCATCTGACTGATTCAGCAGTCATCGGGTTCTGCGTTCAGCAGGGAGTCTGCTTCTCTCTCTCTCTCTCTCCCTCTGCCCCTCTCCCTGCTCACACTCTCTCTCTCTAAAATAAATGATTAAATATTTTTAAAAAATTCTCTGCCAGGGGGCTTTTCCTTACCCACACATGGGGCACAGAGTGTGATGTTAATGCCCAAGGCTTTCAGTGACAAATGTCAGCTGGGCGGTGCATGCCCAGCTTCCTCACCCCTTGAGTGGGATAACTGAGACGGCTCCATCTCAGTGGGTCCCAAACTTTACCATGCACGTGCACTCCCTGGGGTCCTTGTGACCATACAGATTCTGACTCTGTTAAGTCTGGGGTGGGACCTGAGAATCTGCATTTCTGACAAACTCCCAGGAGATGCCGATGACGCTGGTCCACCCAGACCACACCCGTGTACCAAAGGGCTATACTTCTTCCCAGAGTTCCCCAGTAGGATTAAGCCCCAGTGACTAGCACACCCTTTTCCTTCTCAATTCCTCCACAGGCAGGGAGGCGGGGAGGAGGCCCCCAGGGGACAGAGGGACCCCTCACCCACACTCCCCCCAGGAATGCTTTCTGGATGAGCTCCCAAACAAACCACTTGTTTTCAAATGCTGTTGCAGGTCTGAGGGCCCTCTACCTAAGACAGTGGGGGACTCTCGCCCATGCCTTACCCCTCACAGCCAGGGCACTGGGCCAGAATCCCTGGAGCAGAAAAATAGGGAAGGGAGTCTCTCTGAGCACAGACTCAGGAGGTCTGAGAGCTTGGGTTCACATCCCAGTTCCGCAGCTCGCTCTCAGACCCTTGGGAGGGTCACTTAACCTGCCTGGGCTTGTTTTCTCCTCCGACAACTGTTTATCAGATCACCCACCACTCCACAGGGGTTGTTGATGTGACCAGGTCATGTATTTAACAAAAGCCCGTGGCACATGATGCCCATCGTATTGGAGCCCATCGTCTCTCCACAGCTTTGCCCCAGCAGAGCTGCAGTCACGCACGCATACTCCCAGAGAAGGACACCGGAGCGCGGGCCAGGTAGTGCACAGGTCCTTTATTTCCTGCACTGGCAGGTGTACGGCCGACAAGCAACAGAAGAACAGAAGAGCGAGTAGCACAACAGGGGGCAGGGCCAGACCAACGGGGGTCCTAAGCCCCAGACTCCAGCTGTTTACGAGTAAAGAGTGGGAAAGGGCAGGACATCTGGAATGAAGAAACGCGGAGCACTGAGGGGAGGACAGCAGGGAGGGAGTGACTTGGGCGGGGAGCCTGGACACTCAAGGGCCACAGGCAGGGAGGTGGGGAGGAGGCCCCCAGGGGACAGAGGGACCCCTCACCCACACGTAGAGACACTCTTGGTTACCAACAATAGTGAGGGACTAAGAAGGAAGGGCCAAGAATGGAGGAAGAGGGCCAGGTCCCTGAAAGTCAGCAAGGACTCAGGGGCCACCTTTAACTTGGGGGTCAAGGGCATGTTGTCAGGAGGGTCATCAGAACACCTTCCTGCACCAGGGCCCGAGCCCCACCCCCAGCCCAGCTCAGAGCCTGGTCAGGCAGCTGACAGGCCTCCCCCTGGGGCTTCCACCAGCCCCTGGGCTAGCATGTGACTCCAGCCCCAGCCGCCACAGATTTTGCACCCGCTGCAGAGCAAGGGCCGGGGTCCCCTAGCTCAGAAAAGTCCTCAAGCCCCAGCCCAGGTTCATCAGGACGGAAGGTGCACTGGTGACAGACAGGAGGGTCCCGTTTGGGAGGACAGGAAGGAGGTTTCTGGGGCAGGTGGGACTTGGCCAGGTGGCTGAAGGAGGGGCCTCAGGCTGTCTGTGGGGCCTCTGCAGGCTGCTGGGACACAGCAAAGCCTGGAAGAGAAGGGGAGTGGAGGTGAACTGGGGGCCTGGAGAGTGGGCAGGGGCTGAGGCCTTGTCAGCTATATGAGAAAGACAGCCACGACTGATCGTTGTGCAGGCTGCCCACCGGCCCGCCATAGAGGTCACTGTTCAGTATACAAACTGCACAACCTTCCATGGTGACCCTGATGAGGCTGCCCAGCAGTGACCAAAGCGCCCTCAGAGTGGGGGCAGGCCACCTACGATGGTGAGGCTAGCAACAGGCTCTAAATTTCACAGCTGACTGAGCGGGCTAGGCAGGCACCAGGACAGGGTCGGAGGGGAGGGATAGGCCAGGAAAGTCATTATGGCATAGCAGTGAACAGAACAGGCTCAGATCCACTCCAGCTGTGCGACCTCCAGCGAGTTACTTTAGCTCTGTTCTCACCTAACAAAGGGGGACAAGAACTCCTACCTACAGGGTGTGACAACTAAAGGAAAAAATGCGTCTCTGTGAGCTCCCTGAAGGCAGCCTGCATTCAGTAGGTGTGGCTCCCCAAACCTTGGGGTTTCTAGCTGGGGAAAGGAGACCCTGACCCACCCCCCACCACCCTGGAGGAGACCCTAGCCCATCTTCAGACTCACCCAGGGGACTGGTCCGACCACCCTTGCTGGCAGAGGCCTTTGTCCCAATGGCCTGGGTGGCCCCAGAACACCCCCGTCTTCCTCCCAGGCCCTGGGAGAGTGGTTGGCCCTGTCCTCCTCCAGTCTCTGGAAGTCCTGGGTCAGCACCCCAGGCTGCTGCTCTGCCGCCCCACCCCCCACATTGTCTTGGCCTGTTGCTGCCACTGGTGCAGGGTTGGGGAGCCTTGGGGCTGGGGGCGGCAGAGACAGGAAGCTCAGGTGGAACGGAGGGCAGCAGTCCCGGTCTTGACCCCCAGCCCAGCCTCCCAGGAGAAAAGGGGGTAGAGCTCTGGAATCTTATGCCAATTCCACATAAATGAGCCCGGGGGGCCACAGATCCCCGCTGCCTATGGAAATGATATGCAAAGTCCATGCAAATCAGCACGCTGGGTGGGGCCTGGCCGGGGTAAGTGAGCACCTGGGGGGCTCACCTACCCTCCCCTTTCATCGGCTTGATGATCTGCAGCTTGTCCGGCTGGCCAGAGGGAGGCCCCTGCGGGAGCACTCACCTTCCTGGAGCATCTTCTGCCTCAGCTGCCACCTGTACCCCGAGTCCTGCCAGTTAGCCAGCTGCCGGAGGACACGCCTCATGCTGAGGTGAGAGGGGCCCAAGCCGCTGGCTGCCCGGGTTGAGGTCACTGCGTTCGTCTGCGTTGCCTCATCCAGCTCCGGCTCTACCTCCTCCCAGGCCTCAGCCTCCTCCGACACCAGCTCCGCCTCTTCTGTCAACCCCTCCTCAGCTGACACCCCCTCTTCTGTGGCCCCCCGCTCCTCCTCCTCCGAAGGCACAAAGTCCTCTGCTGTCATTAACCCCTTCTCAGCCTCGAACCCCCGTTCCTGCTCTCGTGCCTCACCGCAGCACAGCTTGTACCTGGCCAGGGAGACAGGAACGTCCTTCTGTGCCCCTGAAAGCCAAGCGCAGCCAGGGCCCCCGGCCCCATTCTTCCGCTCCCCGGGGACACCTCCAGCCACCAGGGCTGAGGAGCTCCCCTGCTCTCTGCCCCAGTCTACCCATAAGACCCGACGGCTACTCCCCACTTCTGTCCCAGCCAGGGGAAAGGGGAGCTGGGTACCAGCCTCCAGGCTTCAGACACCCAGCCCAGGCTTACCTTCTCCCAGGTAAGAAGGAGGGAGAATGGTCACCCACACTGCACAAGCCCTGCCTTCCCCTGGTACACCTCCCCGCCACCACCCCCCCCACCCCCCCGCCCCGTGCACAACCCAGAGCCGCAAGGATAATATTCTTCTCCGTGATCTAACCTTCACAGCCCAGCCCACAGCTAGTTGCCCCATAGGAACAAATCCATTTTAGTAAGGCTCAGACTGGTCAAGCAGTTTGCCCAAGGACACACAGCCAATTAAAGGGATCAAGTGGGGACTCAAGTCCCAGACATTCCCAGCTCCTGGGCCAGTGCTCATTCTCCTCTCAGTCTCTGGTGAGGTGAAGGGAAGGCTTCAGTCCCCACTGGGAACAGCCTAAGTCAGATGGCCAACTATGGGGCAAGATCAGAAGGAAAAGGGGGCCGCCCCTTCCCAGAACACCTCAGCCCAGCCAGCCCAGAGAGTGGGGCGTTCTCCAGGGTGGCAGGGTCATAGACGGTTGTCTGGCTGCTGAAAGTGAGGGCGGTGATGGGGGAGCCCCTGGCCAGCTTACCCCAGGTGTGACATCTCCTCTGCAGCAGTTCCGTGATTCCTTCAACAGAGAAAAGGGCCATCACCTTCCCAAGGCAACATTAGCTGAAACTGCAAAGTCCCTGGGGCCCCAGCATGGAAAAAATCCCAGGGAAAAATGAGGGGCCCACACATGTGGACAGAAAAAAGGGTGTGGGGGGAGGGGACGGGGCAGCTAACAAGGGGGCGTCACAAGTGAAGGAAGAAGTCAGAAGCAAACCCCCTCCACGCTCCGGGCAGGTGAGTGTGCGTCAGGCGAGGGCCTGGGGGCCCCAGCACCACACCTTTCGATAAAAAACACAGGGTCTGAGATAATCCTCCTTATAGACATTCTGAGCTCCTCGGCCAGGGTCTCCTGGAAACCAGGAAGGGCCTCCTGTGGTGGAGAGGTGGATATTAGCAGGGCATGCCCACAGGGCATGCCCTGGAACTCCAACCCCTACTTCCAGGGCATGCCCTAGAACTCCAACCCCTCTACTTCCAGGGACAGAAAGGGACGGGGGATGGAAATCAGCCAGCAGGGCTGAGGCATGAGCACACAGAGGGCAGGAGGCGGGCGGCTGGGGGTCCTCACCACGGGTACAATGTATGTGTAGTGGGTGACAGGGCCAGTGGACACCGGGGCTGGCTGGCGGAGGGTCTTCGCCTCCTCCTGGGCCTCAGTCAGCATGCCCCCACACTCCGTGTACCTCTTCCACAGGTCCTGCAGCTGGGAAGCCACCTGCAGGTTCTGTTGGGACCCAGGCGCACCCGCCCAGCACACCCTGCCCACCCTCTCCCCAGCGTGCCAGGAAGCCTGGGCTAAGAGGCAAGCGGCCCAGTCTCTAGACCCACATAATGACATGCAGGGTGCCCCCGGCAGGTCCCTGGACTCTACTCCACTCAGACCCCAACTGAACCTGCCAGGCCCCTCGCCAAACACCCAGGGTGTGCAAAGGGACAGACCCAGAGCCTGCTCAAGGAGCTCGTCCTCCCAGGAGAGTCAGCCAGCTGACCAAGGGCCTTGAGTTCCCAGCTCTGGGCCAGGGGGAGCTTCACCTCATCCTGGAGCTGCATCTGGATTTCCTTCTCCGAAGCCAGCTGCCGTTGCAACTTCTCCGTCTGGGCTCCATACTGGAAGGACCGAGACTGGTCAGCCAGACCCGAGACCAGTCAGCCTCACCCGAGGCCTCCCTACCACCTCCAGCAAATCTTCCCAGGCACATAGCTGAGCCTTTGGCAACCCCTGAAGCAAGAAGTCACATGGAGGGCGCCTGGGTGGCTCAGTTGGTTAAGCGACAGCCTTCGGCTCAGGTCATGATCCTGGAGTCCCAGGATCGAGTCCTGCATCGGGCTCCCTGCTCGGCAGGGAGCCTGCTTCTCCCTCTGACCCTCCCCTCTCATGTGCTCTCTCTCTCAAATAAATAAAATCTTAAAAAAAAAAAATCAATAAGAAGTTTTTTGGGTGATTAAGGTATTGTGATTCTTTAGGAAAATGTTCTTAGTGTTAGAAGAGACATGCTAGGGCGCCTGGGTGGCTCAGTTGGTTAAGCGACTGCCTTCGGCTCAGGTCATGATCCTGGAGTCCCTGGATCGAGTCCCTCATCGGGCTCCCTGCTCGGCAGGGAGCCTGCTTCTCCCTCTGACCCTCCCCCCTCTCATGTGCTCTCTCTCATTCTCTCTCTCAAATAAATAAATAAAATCTTTAAAAAAAAAAAAAAGAAGTCACATGGAATGAGGCCCCATCAGGTGGGAGAGTCATGCATCCTAGGACACCCCGTGACCCTCTCTGGGCCTGCGCCCCCTCCCTGGGACAACGAGGGGGCAGAACGAGATGCTCTCCGACATCTCCTCCGACTCTGACTGCCGCACAGCGGGGCCTGGGGCCTGGCTGAGCCGAGGGCTCCGAGAGGCAAGGGCAGGGAGGAGGGGGCGTGGGGGCCCCGGGGGCCTTGGCAGGAGCGGGGAGCCCTGCACACAGCCCGACGCACCGTCTGACAGCACTGCCGCAGCATCAGGACCTGGGTCCGCAGCTGGGCCACCTCCCTCCGCTGCTGGCTGTGGGTCTCCATCCTGAGCGCCAGCACGTCCGACAGCTCGGCCATCTGCTGGCTGGCCTCAGCTGGGGGGACGCGGGGACAGAAGGTCAGCGCTGGCTCGCCCGGCCTCTGGGGACCGGTCTGGCCCTCCCGAGGCCTCTGTCCACCCCACCCTTCAGCTGGGGCGGGGGACTCTGGGTTTGCAGGACTTCATATTCCTCACTGGCTCTTCATCCCAATAAATGTCTGTTGACTGACACGGAGCACGGCCCTGGGTGAGCGGCCGTCGAGACCTGGTCCCAGCGCACACAGAGCTCAAGTCTAGTGGGGACACTGATGGGCAAGGAAATCCCACCAGGGCCTACTCTGGGCTAGGATGGAACACATGTAAAGGGTGCACCGGGGGTCACAGTGGCACCCGGTCCTGCCTTACACGGTCTGCGGTCTGCGAAGCTAAGGCCTCTGCAGGGTAAGTGGGACCCAGCCAGGCCAAGAAGGGTAAACAAGCCTCCCAGACAGGGTGTGGAGGGGCCAATCACAAGACCCTGGGAGGGAGGGCTCAGGATCTGGGCAGGGCCCAGATCACAGGGGCTGGGGGAGAGGGCTGAGGTTACCCTTTGGCCAGTGGGAAGCTTGGGGTTTTAGGCAGAGGATGACATGGGTCAGATCTGGTTTTAGAAAACTGATTTTGGGCTGTGTGCAGAAGGACCTGGAAAGACAGCAGTACAGGAGGGGAGACCAGTTAAGACCCGGCCTGGGCTAGAGTCAGGGGGGTGAGGAGGAGAAAAGAGACTTAGCCTTCCTTAGGAGGTGGAAGCAACCGAACTTGGGGCCCAGCTCCTATGCCAGGGGCCTGGCCATTCGGGGAGTTGGGGAACCCAGAGGGAAGGAAGGTCAGGCCTGCAGGGAGGCAAGCAGCATGAGTTCAGCCGCTCCCATCTTGCACCTGCATCTCAAAGCTAGACTTGAGCTTCTCAGGGACAAACCCTGGGCCTCCCTCATCTTCATCAACACACGGTACCCGCCACTGCCCCAGACCCAGTGCCTCGCCTGGTGTCTGGCCGCTCACGGCTCCTTCTCTTCCTTGCTTCCAGGCCCCTCCTTCCCAAGCCCCAAATTACAAAATGAAACAGGCTGAGAGGGGCCCCACAGCTTCTGCACAGCTCTCTCCAGTGTGTGCAAAGCACGTTCTCAGCTGTGCCTCTGGAGAGGTCTGCAGGGCTGACATTATTCCTCCCCATTCTAAAGATGAAGTTTCAGAGACCTCAAGGAACTTGTCCAAGTTCCCACAGCTGGGAAGTGCCAGGGTGGGCCTCGAACTCAGGTCCCAAGACTGTGAGTTCTGAGTTCTTCCCTCGGCTCCTTGGGACAGCCCTCTACCCCCAAGTTACAGCTGCACGTACAAAACTGCTCCACACAATCCAGGATGAGCATCTGCTCCTCCTCCTCAAGGGCATCGAGATGAGAGGCCTGGAGGGAGGGAGGGAGAGAAGAAGGAGCAGGAGTGTCAACAGCCCCTGCCTGCAGCTGCGCCCTCCTGCCGCAGCCTCACCTCCTCTCGCAGCTGCTCGTTCTCCTCCTCCAGCCGCCTCAGCTGCTCCTGCAGGGTTTCCAGCTTCGGGCAGTAGTGCGGCGACTCGGACTCCTGCACGGAAGTCCTAGCGGTGGGAGCGATGGCGGTCAGGGCCCAGCACGGGGGCGGGAGGGGGGGAACCCAGGTCCCAGCCCACCCAGGGTTAGCCCACCCGGGCTCACTGTGGTGGTCTCATGTAGCCCCAGCAACCCTGCTGGCAGGTACACCGTGTGTGTCCCTGTTTGCAAATGGGGAAACTGAGGCACAGAGAAGGAGCTGCCCCGGTGAAAAGGCAGGACACTCACGGCTCAGAGGCTCCATAGGGATGATCATGCTGCTGCTCTTCCTCTCCTTCCTCTCCCTCTTCCTCTTCTTCATCCTCCTCCTCCTCTTCCTCCTCCTCAGAGTCTGAGTAGAGCTGGAGGAGATCATCTCGCAAGCTCACCTGGTGTCTGAGGTGTAAAATCTGCCAGTGGGGGAGAGGATCCCTGTTGGAAGGCGGGCGGGGGGGATGGGGGCAGGCACAGGTCCTGGCACGAAGGGGATGTAGGAAGGTCTGAGATGGCGCACGCCCTACCCCTCCTCCTTGCCCAGTTACCTCCTCCCTGGCTGAGCCCAGCATGGCTTCCAGCTTGCTGTTCTCCTCCATCAGAACACTGTTCCGTTTCGCCAGGGACTGGCCAATGCGAGCCACCGTATTTAGGTCCCGCTCTCTCTGCAGAGGGGATCCCCATCCATGGGGAATACTTTCCTGTTTTCTGGGACCTCCCAGACAGCTGGGAGAAGCTAGGGAGTACACAGGGGTCAAAGGGAAGCAAGGCCACTAAGGGAAACCCTTCCACACCCTAGTGTTCCAGGGTACTGGAAAAGAGTCTGCCATCAACCCACTGTGGGGGCCTCAGTTTCCCCTTATAGAAAAGAGCAGGTCAGACCAGATGGCTCTAACAGCAATTCCAGCCTAGACATCATAAGAGGGACCCCCAGCTTGGCTCCCAGAAAAATAGTCAAGCAGGGAACAGACAGGACTTCTACCCCTCCCAGGCAGAATTAAAACGGAGGCCTGGCTAAGGCTCAGGATGGCCCTAGGGAAGGCAGTACACACCTCCTCTAGCAGATTTAACATCAGTCTGACATCTTCTTGGGTGATCTTGACTGGTGGGGTTCGGTCAGGACACAGCGCTGCAAAAACAAGTGATGCACCTGGGTCAGGAAAAGGGGGGCATATCCTACCCCACATCCCACTGTTTCCTGCCCTATCCCCAGTTATCCTCCAGGAACAGGAGTCAGGGACAAGGCAGGAGAAGACTGAGCTCCATCCCTGCCCCCAATATCCTCTCCACACACACCCCCTGGTCCCAGCATTCCCTTCCCTGCTCCCAGGACCAACTGGACTCTTTTGTTCTGGAGGGGCCTGGGCGAGGCAAAGGATCCCAGTCCTCCAAGCTCAGGTGGAACTGAGTTCTCCGCCGCCTGGGTCCCTGGCACCTAGGAGAATGCAGGCGGCTAGTGGAAGCAGCCACAGACTGGCTCATCACCCCTTACCCAGAGGGCAGCCTTGGCCGCCTCATTGGAGCCTCGTGGGTCATAAAACAGACACAGTCACCCACCCTGCACCTGTTGCGTGTGGAGAGCAGGAAGAGACTTTTCCAGCACTGCAGGAGGGGGGCCGTGAGCCTCTAAACCCAAATCCAGAGATCTCCTGCCACCCAGGAGAAGCTACGAGGGGACGAAACCGGAGCCCCCCGCCCATCTCTAGGCTGGGGAAAACAGGGCTTTGACCCCCCGCAGCCAAACGGTTGACAAAACCTCCCCTCCGCCCATCCACCTCCCCAGCGCCGCGCGGCGGGCCAGCGCAGGCTCAGAGCGCACGGGGCAGCGCCCTCCCGCAGCCCCCCGCCCCTCTCCTGGCACTGCGGTAGCCTGGGGAGGGGTGCCCTGAGAGCGCGCAGAGCTGCGGAGCAACGGGCGCGCACAGCCCCCGGACCTGCCCCCGACAACGATCAGGAGACCACAGAAGGGAGGAGGAGATGGGCAAGAGGCGACCCGACAGGGACCGCAGACAGTGACATCGCCAAGTCGATAGAGCGATAAGACTGAATGCCAGAGGGGGCGGGGCGCTCCGAGCCGACGGGGCCCCCTTCTCCACGGAAGTGCCTACGTCCCACCGGCTCTGGGGTTCCGGGGACCCGGGTTACCTTCCTCCAGCTCCCGAATAAAGGCGGCACGCTCGGGGCCCGACACCCCAGGCCGACGGCCGATGTAGGCGGCCGGCGTCTTCCAGATGCCCGCCGCCTTTCCAGTCCCCAGGCCAGTGGCCGGGGGACCAAAGGGCTCCTGGAATATGAAGCGGGTCCATGGGGCGTCCGAGGTGCCGGGCACGGACTGGGCATGCCGCTGGGCGGCTGAGAATGCGGACGCGCGTGGGGCTCCTGCCGCCGATCCAGCCTCGGAGGTCGGGCGAGCTCCGGCTGGGCGTCCCGAGACGGAAGGGGATCTGGATCCTGCTCCCTGTCCGGCCGCGGGTGCCCGCGCAGGGGCGGCTGCAAACTGCGCAGAGGGCTCTGGAGCGGGATTGGCTGCGAGTGGGGGTGCGAGGGTGATTCCCGCCGGATCCCGGGGTCTGAACCGGTGCCTCGCGTAGCCGGACCCCGACTCTTTAGGACGCATCTTGAGTCCGCAGTCGGCTGCCGCAGCCGGGCCTTTATAACCAGCGCCCCGAGTGGGCGCCCGCCGGGCCATACCACGCGCGGGAGTGGGCGGCCGGGAGCAACCAGTGAGGCCCCGGACTGGGGGTCGCGCGCGAGGGGAGCTCTTGGTGGCGAAGCTGAGCGCAGAAATCAGAATAAGGGGCAGAGTCGAATGGCGGTTCCAGCCGGTTCCGTGGGCTCGGGTTCCGAGTGCAGGGCTTCTCCTCCCCTCTCCACCTCCCGAGAATGGTTCTGCCCCAAGTCGCCGCTTCCCTGGAATTCGAGTACAGAGACTTCGAGGTCCCTAGCTGGGGACACCCCCTCCGTCCGCTCCGGCCAGGGTTGCCGGCTGCTGCCCACCCTGGGTATGACCTGGGAGTTAGGGCAGTTTTGTGCTTTCTCCGGTAGCTGGGACATGAATCCAAACTCCAGTATGGTCTCAACGCGCTGACAAGTCTGGCGCGTCACACTGGTCCCTGCGCTCACACCCTTGTGCTCCAGCCGCTCGACAGCCGTCTTCCTTATTTCTTACTTCGTCTTATTACCTTTGCTTGTGCTTTACCTCCAGCCCTCATTGGCTTTGCCCACCTCCTCCCACCCTGGCAGACACCTGTTCTTCCTGGAGACTGCGCTTAGAGGTCTCCCGGGTGAAGACCCCTCGGACCTCGTCCCGCATGGCCCCTGAGCGTGTCCCTCAGAGTGCGCAATGGGAGGCGGTACCTACAATGAGTTGGATGGGGCGGCAGAGGAGTCGGTCGGTGGCCATTTCTGTCCCTTTAAACTGGAAGAACCTGCCAGCCAGAAAGAGATGGTTGTGGCACTAATTCTTTTAAAGCCTTAGAATCATTCTTAGTGCGCAAATTTTCTTCCCTTCAATAACCCATCAATCACCTGTCCTGCTTGATTTACCTCCTAAATATTTCTCAAATGACCAGTCTCCTCGTCAGTCTCTCTGCTGTTGAGGCCTCATCCTCTCTTCTAGATTTTTGTGATAACCTCCCTGCCCCCTCCACATGAATCCATTTCTAAGGAATTCCAGGAGCCTCTTCCCCACAGCCATCACGCTAAGCCTGAGCCCAGGACAGGGGCTACTGCCCAAGGGCTACACCTGGGACAGAGGTTTCTAGTGCTGACAACGTGCCTTGCGGGCCAGGTGTCCGGGATACAGCATGGAACAAGAGACAAAACCCAGGAACGAGGATCAGACTGCCCTGTCCACCAGCTTTCCCATGGAGAAGCATTGTGGTAAGAATGTTTCCTTCCATCTGGGTCCATTCATTCATTTGACAAATATTTACTGAGTCCCTACGATATACAAATATAAAATAAATAAATAAATAAAATCCTTTAAAAAAAGATTATTTAACACACAGAGAGAGCACGCACAAACAGGGGGAGGAGAGGGAGAAGCAGGCTCCCCGCTGAGCAGGAAGCCCTATGCAGGACTCTATCCCAGGACCCTGGGATCATGACCTGAGCCAAAGGCAGATGCTCAACCAACGGAGCCACCCAGGTGCCCCCTATTTTATTTCATTTTTGAAACTTTTTTCTTTTTAATTCTAAGTAAACTCCACGCCCATCCTGGGGCTCAAACTCATGACCCCGAGATCAAGACTGAGCCAGTGAGGTGCTCTAAAATTAGTTTTAATAATATATTTTATTTAATCCAGTATCTCCAAAATATTATCACTTCAACATGTAATCAACATAAAAAATTATTAATGAGATTATATTTTTACATTCTTTATACTAAGCTGACTGTGCATTTTATTTTTTTAAGATTTTATTTATTGGGTGCCTGGGTGGCTCAGATGGTTAAGCATCTGCCTTCGGCTCAAGTCATTATCCCAGGGTCTGGGCTCCCTGCTCAGCAGGGAGCCTGCTTCTCTCTCTCTCTCTCTCTCTCTCCCTCTCTCTCCCCCTCTCCCTCTGCTGCTCCCCCTGCTGGTGCTCTTTCACGCACTCTTTCTCAAATAAATAAATAAAATCTTAAAAAAAAAAAAGATTTTATTTATTTATTTATTTGAGAGCGAGAGAAGGCAGATGCTTAACTGACTGAGCCACCCAGGCACCCTGGGCATTTTATTCTTAAAGCACATTTCAACTCATTCTTCTCTTTATTTCCCTGAATGTAATTTGTCTTTTTTCCCCTGTGTACCTTTATTTTTTTTTAAGATTTATTTATTTGTTTGAGATACAGGGCGTGCACAGAACAGGACATACAATAGGGGCCCATTCTATTCCTGCTGAATGGATGTTTGCTGAATTGAATTATTCCATGAGAAAGCAGCCCTGAGGACCCTGGGAAGTTTGCGGTGAAGAAGAAGAAAGTGGAGTGGAGAAGACAGAGCTGAAGGGGACCCTCAGGCTCCCAGTAGACTACACCCTCTACCCCCTCCCCCCACACCTTGCAAGGCAACTCTAGCTATAGCCACCAGAGGGCGGTGCCAGCCCGCATACCCCCTACCCTCACCCAGCCAGCCCTCACCCATGGGATCAGTGACCCCACAGAAGAGGCAGAGTAAGGATGGCAACTTCATTGGACGGTTGGAGAAGCCAAAGCTCAGACCCCTGGTCACTCCACAAGTAAGCATTTTGGCCTGGCTGATAAGCCCATGACAGCCCAAGAGACCCCGTGGGCCCCTCTCCAGTGGAGTCCTTCAGCCCAGTTCTGCTGCTCTAACCAGAGAGGTTGGCAGAACAGAAACCGTAGACCTCCTCCTTCCCTCCCAGTATGCACCCTGCTGAACTAGAGAAGACAGGAAGGGGCTTGCGACCCACCACAGCCATGAACTTGGGGCCAAGCATAGTCACTCCAAACCCAGCCTCAGTGCGCCCCCGGCTCAGGCCTCCTTGCCTGGCCTGATCCTGGAAAATGAACCTAGGACAGGCTACCCCATGGCAAGAGCCACTGAGGGTCAGTGCCAAGGATCCGGGTGGGGTCAGACACCAGGACCACTTTCTGCATCAGACTGGGAACAGGGCAGAAGGGAGTGCCTTGGACATGGGCCAGGGGAACCGCCTCACCACCCCCACTCCTGCTCCCCTCCTGTGGGACTCCTGGGACCCCTCATCCCTCTCCCCACCAGTGCCCAGGCCCCTCCACAACGTAAGGCCCCCTTTCCTTTATTCCTTCTTCCCAGGCCCTGGTCAGACTCTTGGGCACTGAACACTCTGAACCTCTCCAGGGCCTGGGCTGAGGAAGTGGGGGATGCTGGGGGCCTGAGCCCCTCAGCCTGGTGTCTTCTGGTTTTCTAGGCCCCCTGCTGGTCAGGAGAGGGGAAGGAGAGAAGGCAGAGGCAAAGTACCTGGGGTGATGGTGGGGGTCAGCAGGCGAGCCTGCTGGCTCACTCCTGCTCCTGACTCTCCTGCTGAGGCTGGCCTCCTCCTCTGAGAAGCCCTCCTTGCTCCCAGACGGGGTGTCATTTCTCCTAACTCTGTGCTCATTTTCCCATCCTCACATCTTTGCTGCTCCCACTGCCAGGAAGTCCCAGGTACATTCCATGATTTCCATTGAACACTTCCTTATTTGAAAGGCGACTCAAATGTCATCCACTCCCTCCATGGGCTTGCTGAACCCACTGAGACTCCTAAGCACATGCGCACTCTCCTGCTACCATTACTTTCTTGTCTGTTTCACACCCGGAAGACAAGAATGTGGGGCATCTCTATCCCTAGGGTTGTGAGCAAAGCCTGGCAGAAAAGGTCCTTAGGAAGCTTTTGGTGATTGAAGGAACAAATGACCCACGAATCTAGCCCATGAAGAGTGCCCCTGTTCCTTCCAGAGACCGGGACTGCATTTGGACACATTTTCCACAGCTTCATTGTACTAGTAATTATTGGGAACTGGGGTCAACTAACTGAATTTCTCAAATCTTTCCCACGTGTCTTGGGTGTTACCAAATTTCCCCATGTTCTCTAAATGTGCATAGATGTTTTGGATCAAGCATAGGATTTAGGATTCCATCTAATTATTTCCTACTTCTTTATGTTATCTTGTTGAGTGTATCTTTTTAGCCAACTTACATGCTTTTTAGATGAGGTTGTATAGACATGTTTTCAAAGTTTTTTAGTGTAAGACAATTTATTTTTCATTTTTAATTGATTTTTTAAAAGATTTTATTTATTTATTTTTAAGATTTTATTTATTTGAGAGAGAGAGAGAAACAGCACGAGAGAGGAGAGGGTCAGAGGGAGAAGCAGGCTCCCCGCTGAGCCAGGAGCCCGATGTGGGACTCGATCCTGGGACTCCGGGATCATGACCTGAGCCGAAGGCTGTCGCTTAACCAACTGAGCCACCCAGGCGCCCTATTTATTTATTTATTTAAGTAGGCTCCACACTCATAGAGCCCAATGTGGGGGCCTGAACTCATGACCCTGAGATTAAGGCCCAAGCTGAGATCAAGAGTCAGACATTTAACCAACTGAGCTACCTAGGCGCCCCCTAGAGATTTTAAGTCCTCTCTACACGCAATGTGGGGCTTCAACTTAGAACCCTGAGATCAAGAGTCATATCCTCCACTGACTAAGCCAGCGAGTCGCCCTGTTAATACTTTAAAAACATATTTATTTTATTATTTATTTTAAAGATTTTATTTATTTATTTGAGAGAGACAGAATGAGAGACAGAGAGCATGAGAGGGAGGAGGGTCAGAGGGAGAAGCAGGCTCCCCGCCGAGCAGGGAGCCCGATGCGGGACTCGATCCCGGGACCCCAGGATCATGACCTGAGCCGAAGGCAGTCGCTTAACCAACTGAGCCACCCAGGCGCCCTAAAAACATTTTTAATTTTTTAAGAACGTTTTAAATTGACAAACTGCATCTTTAACAGTACTTTTAGGTTCACAAATGATAATTACTTTGGATTTATTTTGATAACTTGATTTTTTTTTTTTTAAGTAATCTCTATGCCCAACGTGGAGCTCAAACTCATAACTCCGAGATCAACAGTCGCATACGCTACCGACTGAGCCAGCCAGGTGCCCCCTGATAACTTGATATTGAAATCCCAATGTAGGGCGCCTGGGTGGCTCAGTCATTGGGCGCCTGCTTCTCCCTCTCCCACTCCCCCTGCTTGTGTTCCTTCTCTCACTGTGTCTCTGTCAAATAAATAAAATCTTAAAAAAAAAAAAAGAAATCCCAATGTAGGGGCCAAGGGCAGGCTGCCCCAAGATGCACCACTTGGGCATAAAGATTATTTCAAGGTAAAAATAATCAAAACCCAGCAGATGCAGGAAAAGCTCTCTGCCTCCCCTCCAGCTACCAAAATTTTTCCTGTTTTTCCAAACCTCTCCTCTCACTTTCCGGCTAGTGAGCTTTCTCCCCTTTGTATCCTCAGACCCTTCCCCTCTCCTTAGCTCAGATAAGCTTCCCATTGCCTCACTGTCTTTGGAAGTTCATGTCTGCATGGATTCCCCATAGGTACACCTATTAAATTTGATTTTCCTCTGTTAATCTTTCTCGGGTCAATTTGATTCTAAGTCCAGCTGGCAGGACGTAGGGCAGAGGAAGGTCTTCTGCCCACCACCACCTTGTCGGATTCTGCCCCTCCTTCTGGCTCATCGCCATTTCTGGGGGCGCTTGGTGCTGCCTCCCTTGTCTTCAGCGTGGCACCTGCCATTGTGATAGGTGGGTGTCGCTCTCCATTGGTACTGGTGACATGGAGGTAGACCTGTTGTCTGTGGTGGGTGGCCGACACTGACATTGGCCCAGACCACCAGGGCCGGGTTTCCTGTTCCTTGGGTGTGGCCGCTCAGTCAGGTCTGCCCACATCACCTAAGCCTGCACTTCCCCCTCTGGTCGCCTCCTTTGCGGAAACCCAGGCACTCAGCAATTCGGCTGCCTCCCTGGAATAAGCCTACCTAAGTGGAAGAGATTAGCCGGGGAGACTAGTTCCGAGTCACAGCAGACACGTCGGGAGATCTACCCCGTCTTCCACGCCTCCTTCCTTTCTTACCATCAGGACCCTGATTTTATCAAGGGGGCAACGTGTGCAATAAAATATCCTCAATTTCCCAGCTTCCCTTGCAGCAAGGTAGGGTCATGTGACAGTTTCCTGCCAATGTCCCTGGGGGTAGATGTCCCTTCTGGAAAACAGAAAGGCAAAACTCCTCTGGGAAAAAGCCTTTTGCCATTCGCCCTTCCTCCTGCCTGGAATCACTGTGCTCTCATTCCGTCTTCATGTGCAGGAGGCAGAGCAGGCATTATCCCCATTTTACAGAGGAAGAAACTGAGGTTCAGAGACATGAATTGATTTTTTTTTCCCAAGGTTGAGGCTCAGTTAGCTCCTACACGAAAACCTGAAGTGTCAACTCACTTCATGAACCAGCTTAAGCTTTCCCTTTTTGTCCAGGCTGCCAGGAAGCTCAGCGCCTCATGTGAAGCTCAATCATGACTAGTATTAACCCTTAACACTGGTGCTTCATTGCCCTCTCCCATCCCTTGTCCTCATTGCCTCTTAATGAGACTTGTGGTCCCTTCCCCTGCCCACGCCTCTGTAAACTGTCCCTTGACTGAATTCTCAAATTACCCAAGTTGAGTGGATTTTGCCAGGGCCCTGTCATGGGCTGAATGTCTGTTTCCCCCCAAATTCACATGTTGAAGTCCTAGCCCCCAAGGTGATATTTAGAGGTGGGGCCTTTGGGATGTATTTAGGTTTAGATGAGGCTATGAGGGTGGGGCCCCGTGATGGGATTAGTGCCCTTCTAAGAGGGAGAGATCTCCCCCTGGGCTTGCACCAAGAACTCAGGGAGGAGGTGGCTGTCTACAGGCCAAGGAGTGGGCTTTCGCCAGGTGTGGCATCCGCTGGGACCTTGATCTTAGACTTCCAACCCCCAGAACTGTGAGAAATAAATGTCCGACATTTAAGGTCCCAGCCTATGGTATTCTGTTACAGCAGCCCGG